TTACAAAGCGTGCGTTACTGTCACTCGCCGATGCATCGCATTTTGTATATAATATAGTTTTTATTGAAAAAGGGTAATAAAACCATACTTTTAACTAATATTATATAATAGTATTCCCTGTCAGTCTGTACCTAGGTATGCTAAAATGTTTTAAAGTACGCAACGGATTTTGATGTAGTTTTTTAAGTAGCTAGAGTGATTTAAGAGGAATGTTTATATGTACAATTCATGCATGATATAGTAGAGAAATACTGATAATTTTGGAGGTTTGTAATATGATGTCGTAAACACATTTTTTGCGCTTACATTGCAAACGCTGGCTGAACCTTACGAGACAGATCAAAATAATGTACTACAGTGTTGTACACCTTATAAATGCCTATACAAAAGTCCACGATGGTATATTTCTATCTCTTAGGGATAGCCCACAATAACCATTTTTATCTTTTACCTTTTATGAGAAATAATGGCTTATTTACGAAGCGATTTTAAAAATAATTAATTAATCATTATTGCTTAAGCAATACAATATTATTCGTTATCCAATTTAGTAATTTTAAGACATTATGTATGTAATGCATACTGTTTTAATAGATCAATATGGTCATTTACAGTATATAATTTAAATGGATATTTTCGAAGATATTACAGATTTAAAATGCAGAGATATAACGGTGCTGGCCGTGTGGCCAGCGGCGCGTGCCTATAAATAAATAAAATTTGATATTGCAGATATAGAGTGAACTTTGTAAAGGCTACTTTTTATACTGGAAAAAACCACATCCCTACGGGATAACGTCGTGTAGACCACGCGGCCAAAACCGCGAGCGAAAGGCTAGTAAAGATTATACTTAAATCCTTTTTCCTCATGAAGTAATAATTACTCTGGTATATAATAAAGCTTTTTATTTCCATACTTTAGTTTACAGTTTTAAATTAATTTGTTAGTAAGTATAGTTAGTACGTTGGTTTTAGTTTCTATGAGTTAGTAGCTTTTACCCAGAGAGTTCCATACTATTGTGGTTTAAACCTTGCTTGATAATAATATCGTAGAGAGGGGGGAAAATATACTTATATTTTTTATATTAAAATCAATGATATTTCAAAATTCCGAGGCCGCTACGAACTATTTGACTAAATTAAGAGATAATATTAATTTTTTTTGAAGTGAAAACTTCTTTAGCGACGTTTATGTTTATGTTGTATGGGTAAAAAATGTTAAACTCGCATCAGGTTAAACACGTGGGCTGATCGCATCATGACACACAATAAAATTGGAAAGGTTGTTGACTTTCAATATATTGAACGTAACATAGTAATATTTTATTTTATCGCTAGGTGCCCTGAAATGTGATTCATGTAAGTTGATTTCTTTACAATAGATGTCGCTAAGTGCGCTTAAACGTGATTCATGTAAGTGATTTTTGTGAGAGATAAACTTTTTTAATGTAAATTAAATTGTCATGTTTGTGTACAATAGCGCAATAAATAAATATTGTATTCTACCACATACATGATAGTACTTTCGTGCAAAATTAATCCCTAACCATTCCAAAATATCAAAAATGCACAACGTTCATATTCAAGTTTTCAGTTCTGCCGGCACTCCTGGAGTGCAACCCGGCGTTTTTTTTTTCATTTCATTTGTTAAGAAGAGTCCAAAATCCATGAGCTCAGAAATCCTTTGCGCATTTTATGAAAATCGATCTTTGCAATTTTGAGTTAAATAAAATGCTGCGAGGCTGCTACGAAATATTCTAATAGTTATCTGCAGCATTCAATGAGTAAAAAACATATTTGGTTGCTGAGATCAAGAACGCCAAAACTTGCCATTTAACGCAAAATTCATAGTCAAGATGTGATATGGCCCTTAAGTCCAATTTCACATTTTATTTATATATTTTTTGCGTCTCATAGAGTTCCTATGCGTATACCCGAACTCCTATATTGCCTGAAACAACACTCAGTCCTAACTGCAAAACGCAAGAGTCTCGCATCTCTCTCTCTCATAATCATCATCTGTCTTGGTCTTGCTAAAATTAGGCGGTCTTGCTCTTGGTCTTGCGAAAATGCAAGAACAACGCCAAGACCGTTTTTGGGCAGCACTAATGGTCACTACACTAAAGTAATTTATGTTATTAACATAATGGTATCATGTTAATATGCCATGGCGCTTGCAACAGTGCTGAAATATCGGAGACTTGCAAAAAACAATGTACATGGGAGCAATCCCATTCATAACAAAAAATTCTGTACATTTTTATATCTTATGAAAATACTGCTATAAAAAATGCTTGGGAAAACCTTTTCCTTTTTGAACTCGTTAAAAAAAGTAAAGTGGAAAAACGCGGTGCTCTTGTTTAGTATATTGTTTTGTTGATTGTTGGAAAAATTATTATTATTATTATATTGTTAAAACTTGCCTAACTGATCCGACCATACTTTTTCCCGTCTATCTTCAGCCATGCACCAAGGTATACAATGCTTCACTACATAATGTTCCTTACTTGTCTTCAGTAGACAATAAAAAAAATTAAAAAAAAGTTTTTCAGCAGTGCTATTCTGTACAATTTTCACGCGCGGATCCACATAGCACTGCTAGAGTATATATTTTTTTCACGAGTACAGAAAAATCCTCGTAAACTTAAGAGTTTGAACACAGTGAACAGAGCGCATTTGAAGAATGTAATTTTTTAAAGCAATATGTGCTTGATCAGACATATTAACATTAAAATATTTATTTTTAAAAAAATGCTTTCTTGAAAATAAACCAAATTTAGAAAAAAAATACGGTCCTTTATATTTTTTCATGTTTTCTTTTTCAATTTACAGTTTTTTGCAAGCTCTTAGTACCTATACTTCCCCAGGCGGGTGATTCGAATTCGGTGAAAACCCGCTGTGCCCTATTTTTCTTATAACACGAAAATAAATATATCAACGTTCGCTCTTCCTGAAAACAGGTCAGCTTCTCTCATAATTTCATCTGACATTTATGAATTGCTAATATAAAACGGTAAAATATTCAAAGCGGCTCCGATTTCATATTTATGGTAATAAATTTTCAACGGAAACCTTTAATTTTGTTGTTAATAATACATCCTTAAAGTAATAATTTAAATATGAGGTAATATAGGTGATTATATTCGTAGTGAAAATGTTACCACTATCATGTTTTTATTGCACTTAGTAAAAATGTTTGCTAAGACCGTAATGGGTTGATTTGATATAAAGTATGTATTAACATCCGTTATGAAAAATTAAAAAAAACTGTAAAAATTAAGAGATCATGGAAATAATTTTATAAAACGAGTATATTGAAGCAAGCTTTAAACAGCTTCACGCAAACTCGGAGTCCTGAACAAGGTGCGGCGTTTTTTCACACCCGATCAACTGTGCTTGTTGTACAAAACGCAAGTGCGGTCCTGCGTGGAATATTGCTCGCACCTCTGGGATGGCTCCGCTAAGTACTTACTCGATGCCTTGGATAGGTTGCAGCGGCGCGCTGCCCGCATCATTGGTGATGAAGAGGTAACTAAGAAACTCGAGTCTCTACAATTACGCCGTGATGTGGCATAATTAAGCGCATTCTACCGACTATAGTAGTGGCGAGTGTTCTGAGGAGCTATTCTCGCTTATCCCTCCATCACCTTTTCTTCAGAGGACCACGCGCGCTGGCCTACGTTGCCACCGACTTACTGTGGCCACTATTCCTACACGAACAAAGAAATTTCGTGACTCATTTCTTTGTCGTACTATTCGTAAGGGGAATTCTTTACCCGCGCACGTCTTCCCTCCTTTTTCCAAGCATTTTTGCAGGCCGGCAAGGTGAGGATGGTTGGTGTAGCAGTTTATAACTGCTGTACCAGCTATCTTCGCGTTTGGACTTTATCATCACTTAACATCAGGTGGGATAGAGTCATTTGCCTACTACGCTATATAAAAAAAGCCCACCTAATGCTCATAAATAGCCAGTATCTATATACTTAGTCATAATTTCATCGTCATCAGCCTAATAATAGGCCTTCGCTATGGATAGAATAGGGAGACTGAGCTAGGCCATGACCCACCACGTGGGCCCAGTGCGGATCGGTGGTTGCTTACAACTGCAGATGCAAGCTTTACGTGCCTTCCGAAGCACGGAGGAGTTCGAGATAATAAGTTTTTAGTCACCCATGACTGACCTTTGCGAAAGTTACTTAACTTTCACGAACGCAGACCGAACGCGCTAACTACCTGCACCATTGAGCTCCTCTCTTCTTCCTCTCCTCTTAGCCATTACGAAAAAGCAGGTTATAAATCGCGCCCTGTCTGCTGTGATAAGTAGAGCAAGGTTTCAGGGCTCGCAATATAAAACTTATTCAATTTTAACTTTTCTAAATTGGATTAGGTAGTGATTTTCATTACTTAATAAATTACATTATTCCTAACTGTATTCATTAATTAAAAAAGTCTTTCAAGTTAAACATGTAGCAGTTAAATGCTTAAAAAATAAAAATCTACATTTGATTCTTTCTGTCAATTAAAGTATCCTAACCTAACCTTAGACGGGCTGAGTAGGATTGCTATCTTTGAACTAGAATATTTTTCCTAATAAACGTTATCATCATATCTTCCAGTCTGGCGACCAGTCGACCGATTATCTTGGCCACGACTTCTTCCAGTATCTCGGCTCGCTTCAGGACTGCCGCGATGGCGTCGCGCTCACTCGGAGTTTATTCTTTTTTTCTCAATACACCCTACATAAACCAAGATTTTTGTCTGTCTGCTGTCTACTACTTTATATTGCGTTAAAGCAGTTACCATAACTTCGAGTCTAGCGACTAGTAGTCCGATTCTCTTAGCTTTGACTTCTGCCAGTTTCGTAGCTCGTTTTACGACTGCTGAGATGGCGTCGCACTCACTCAGCGTTCATTCTTTTTTCTCTATACATCCTACTTAATCCAAGATTGCTGTCTGTCTGCTGCCTACTACTTCATATTGCGTTAAAACAGTTATCATACCTTCGAGTCTAGCTACTAGTCGTCCGATCCTCTTAGCTTCGACTTCTTCCAGTTTCTCTGCTCGCTTCACGACTGCTGCGATGGCGTCGCGCTCGCTAGGCGTCAACGGTGGCTCGCTGCGCGCCGCACTCCAACCCGTTCGTAGCCTGCCATACAAACAATAAATTATTAAAATGAAACTTTTATTACACCCCCAATTTTTTTCGTGCGTCTGCAGAATGTCGCGTTATATTTCTGATTGTTATTAAGAATTTCAGACCTCATCAACAGGCCTCAGTGGTCCAGTGGTAGAAAACTCGCCGGCCACGTGGGCGGTCCAGGGTACTGCACCTTATCAGACTTATCATCTGTCTCAGTTTTTATAATTGGGATATAAAAAGTGTATGCATGTAAGAATTTTAGTGTTAAATGCAGCAGCGAATGCTTGCTAGTACGATCTTCACTATTCTTTAAGAAGAGTGAAGTGTAATGTCTCCTGCTGTTGTGCAACCTTTTTCCGTAGTAAATACTTTTCTTATTTATTTAGGTGGTACCTATAATCTAGTTTTGTGATTCGAGTCTTTCGTACACAGGACACGAGTGTAGAGAATTAAATCCTGCACGTGATCTGAAATGGGAGCGATACACGCCAAAGAATTGGACGGCTGTGCTCACGTCACGAATAGTGGATTTGCAAAAAGGTGTGAAATTGTATTATTGTTACAGCTTCGAATAAAGGTCATGGCTGTAGAGATTGTATATCATACATAGAGCTTTGAAGTACGGTTCGAGGGACAAACATTAAACTTTAATCTTCAGGGTTCCGTTAAAGATATAAAAGGAAAAGTATCACAGTTAAGTACTTAGGCTTTATAATTTTACGAGTTCGGAGCAGTAAAATTTTATAAGTATATTATACACTTTATTCTATAAACGTGTTGAAAACGTTAGTAAAGGTGAGCTTATCCCTAAAAGAGATCTCTTCCAGCCAACCTAGGTGGTGACAGAGGTTCCAAACTTAGCGGGGAACAGAAATTACAACAAAAATTAAACTAAAAATAAAAAACTATCGGCCGTATAGTTTTTTGTAAATTACTTAGAAACCTAAAATTTTTTCAGGATAAAAAAAAGTATCCACTGTATCAATCCAAATAATGAACTATATCTGTGTCAAATTTCATGCAAATGCATTCAGCCGTTTTTGTTTGATTGAGTATCAAACACACAAACTTTCCCATTTATAATATTAGTAGGATGTAAGGATATACTAAAATAAAATCATAGAAATAAAAATTCCTATTTGAATAGCAATCTTTACATTGGCGACTTTGCAATCCCGAGCCAGACAAGGGCTGTTTTGTGCCTAAGAAAGGCGTGTAACCTTCAGCCTCCTCATCAAGGGGGTTGCTGCGAGTATATGTAAGGACTCTTCGTAGTAGCATATTTTTATTTTTTAATTTAATAAATACAAGAGTATAGTATAAGTATATATATATATATATATATATATATATATATATATATATATATATATATCATCTTGTATTTATTAAATTAAAAAGACACATATATCGGCCCACCTTGCATTTTAAGTTTTGATTTGACGGTTTTGAAGCTGATTTATTTACCATCTTTTTCGTGTGTGTTTATATATATTATTATTGCTCTGCCTAACAGATATTATGTTTGCTACAGACCGATGAAACTTAAGTGCGCCGATAGATGTGTCTGGGAGTGTATATATATATATATATATATATATACTTTGTAAAATTATATCCTATAAGTATTTAGAAATTCGGGATTTTCCGCGATCCGGTATACTATACGATACTCCAAAATCCTCTATTTTAGCTACTTTGGCTTTTTGCAAATTGGCAGATTATGTAATTTCCGTGAAAAGTGACATATTTCTTTGAAAATTAAATTTCTTTAAAAATTAATTGACGACCCTCGAGAATGTTCAGGTGACGTTTTTTTTGCAACTTTGTAATTCCCCCATTTCCTTGTGTAACGTTCAAGTTGTCAGATTATTGAAATGCATACTTGTCTGCCGTTCGAGTTTTACAAACAATCGATTTTTTTTACTAATCTAATATCATTTACGGGATTGTTACCATGTACCATGTTTTAGTGATTTTCCAATATTTCGGCACTATTGCAAGAGTAACTCGTGATCACTGTGTGTTACTCTGCGATCATGGCGCTTGCAACAGTGCCCAAATGTCGGAAACTCGCTGAAAACAAAGTACACGGTAACAATCCCGTAAATAACAAACTACTATAATGTTATTTACCATGACAGTTTAAAACAATTTATCACATTCCTTTTATTAGAGTCGTGTAGGTAATATAAAAATAGAGAAAACGCCTTCTCTCACAACTATTGTCGCCTATAAATATTCCACAGCTGTCCAAGGCCGCAGTCCTAAATCAGCAGGATGCCACCCCTCATAGAGTCGAACATAGTATAGTAATCAGAATGCGTGTGTTCTTGGTGTATAAACGACATTTCACACAGAAATCGTAATAACCTTCCACCAATATAGAGAGTAAGTATTTATTCCAAATAGGACCTTGACTTTGGGGAAATTGGCATGGATATTGGGAATAATAAAATTGGTAATATTTTAATAAAAAAATAAAAGAAGCGTTATTTCCACGGTTTTTGCTCAACCTAATGTCAAAGTTGTCACCATTGGTAGAGCAAATGGTACTATTTTTTCTCGTTTGTTTCAGTTTCAGTGCGAACAAAGCCAGTGGTGATGACTGGGAACAATCGAATCCTACGTGTGCGAATTCCACTCGCATATATTTTTTTTGTATACACAGCATAATCGTTTATAGTAGTCCCCTTTTCAGGGGACGATCGCATCCGTTGAAGCAATCCTATGTATTATAGGTGTTCAAGTCCGGAGGTAGCCGCTTCGCGGTAAGTTTTGTTCAGTAAGAATCTTACATAACCTTGCAAGATAAATAAGAGAGGTAGGGCATAGCGCATTTCCCACTCGAATTGGAGCGCCCGTCTCGGGAAGTAACTTCCACTTTACAGATCACAGTAAAACAACACCACGGTTCCAGGGCTCCACGGGGTAGGGAATTAGGTCAGGGTAGGCAGCTGTGAGCGACAAAAGTATCTGTAACGGTCTCACAAGCGTCAATCGGCTAAGACACGCAGCATGCTTCTTTGCCACCAGTGGCGGATTTGCAGTCTCGGCCGCCCTAGACCCCGAGCCATCAGCCGCCCCTTTCTCAGCATTCACCATCCACTACATAATGAAATTACTTTATTGCCAACTTTTATCTAAATAGATTTAGAAATTTAGAAAAAAATAGTCTAAATTAAATTTCTAGTCATATTTTCTTTAGATTTAAATATCAAGCAGTTACATGCTTAAAAAAATAGTTTTATTTCGCAAGAATTATTTTATAGTGCATTTTCCACGAAAATTGAGACATTTTCTGAAAAATTGTCTTCTAAGTCAGTAGAATAAATTATTTGCAATGCTTTGGCCTTTTATTAAGGTAGTTTTAGCTTTGATTATGTCGATTGGGGCCGCTCCTAAATCTGGCCGCCCTAGGCCCGGGCCTACCGGGTCTTAGGGTATATCCACCACTGTTTGCCACCCTATTTGGATAAAAAAAATCTTTTTAATACTTACTTACAACGGAGAGAATTTTTCAATTATAAAAATTGGTAAGAGTTGTCCGGATTTACAGTAACAAAAAGCTTAAACTCTTTCAACGAAGGCAAACGCACGCCTACAAAATAACGATAAAAGCCTTGACACAATTTCCCGTGATTGCGTGTCGGTAATAATAAACTCGTGGAGACGACAGTCCGCCTGTTGCAGTGCAGTGACGTAGAAAATCGGGACACCAACCATCAGAGAAAATATATAATGTCGCGAACCATGCTCGATTGGCTTTTGACGTCACTATGAAGAGCCGTATGGGTGGGTACAAACAACTCTTTTGTTATCGTTCATAAACACAGCCACATGGTCATTCATATTATTGTTCGTCATTATAATTACCGGCTTTGACTAAGAAAGGATTTTCTTGAATTCTAAGGGAACTAAAGGTGAAAGTTGGAAAGAACGAAGTTTCTTTTTTCTAGATAGAAATGTTAAAGTTGGTATATATTTATTTTATTTCAATCATTATTAGGGGTTGAAAAAGATTAGTTAAGATTTAAAACTTCTGCCCTTGAAAGTTTATAGACATCTCCCTATTCCATCCAGAGGGAAGGCCTGAGCCCCAGCAGAGGGGACATTAATAGGCTGATGATGAATGAAACTGGTAGCTACTTTATGTATGTATGTAATATATTTTCGTGCCCTTTGCCTCTGTGCTTTTTTTATAAAAATAAATGTTATGAAACCACGATGCAAATGAAGCTTTATAAGTGTTTTACATGCTGAAAATAATTCGTAGTTGATGTTACTCCGGCTAAAAAGTGGAAAAATGTCCTCCCACGACTGGAAATCAAACCCGGGCCGCCCGCTTGGTAGGCGAGTTTTCTACCACTGAACCACCGAAGCTTGTTGATAAGATCTGAATTATACTAGAAACAATTCCACGCAAACCAGGCAGCAGGCGGCACTCGAACACGCACCCTCTGCTATTCGGGCGAATGGACTGACCTTTCTTAAGTAAAATTTTCTTTAGTTTTAAACATCTAGCAGTTAAATGCTTAAAAAATACAAATATAAATATTTTCTTTCATCCTTAGCATAAAGCATTACATTTTTAATTGTTTAAAAATATATTTTTATATTTGTATTTTTTAAGCATTTAACTGCTAGATGTTTAAATCTGAAGAAAATTTTACTTTTTTCTCAAGTATTTTTAAAAAAAAGAAATTGGCGATGTTATAAAAGTTTTTCTTTAAATATTGCTTAATGATTGTTCGACGACGTTTAAATTGATCACTTTGGCAATGCTTTTGATGACCTCCGTGGCCGAGAGGTTTGCACGCCAGGTTTCATGGTGTCGCCGACTCAGGAGTTCCCAGGTTCGAATCCCGGTGGGGGCAGATGTTTGTGTGATGAATACGAGCATTTGTACTGCAGTCATGGATGTTTTATATGTATTTCTATATAAATATACTTTTATATGTACAGTATATGTATTCTATCCCTTACCCTAGTATCCCATAACACAA